ACACGTTTTCTTTAGGAGACCCAAACCAAACCAAGCAACAACACTCACATTTTGTCATCTTGGATTCTGTCAAAAAATAAATTGTTTTTACAAAAAAAAAAAAAACAATTTGCCCAAAAAAAAAAACCAATAGGATAATTAATTAACGGCGTACACGTCGATCAAATCACAAACTTTTTTTTTTTGTAAAAATGTCTACCGATTCTAAAACAAAAAGAAAAAGAAATCAATCAAACGCAATTGCTGAGGAAAATGAGTAAGTGTTTATCAAGAGTGGTGGTGGCGGTCGCCACTCATCATCACTCTAGTTATAATAATAATAATAATAATAACAAGATTTTAAGTTAAACGTCGTGGCGAGCGAGCGGCGGCACATGCACGAATTTATTTGCAAGTATTTTAATTTTAATATTTTAATATTAATATTAATATAATAATAATAAAACAAAAACAGGACAAAATGACAGATTTTTTTCTTCTCGGGAGCAGTAAACATCGATTAACCAAATATTAATATCTTGCTTGATAAACCTTTTTTTTTTTTAATATATATTGCAAAAAAAAAAAAATACAAATGCAGTGGCTAACTTAATGTTAACATTAACGTAAATGATGGACGACGTTGACGTTAACTTTAACTTTAACTACTTGAAAATTCCTTTTTTTAAACAAATTCTATATGAAAAATGACCGAAAATCTCCTTTTTTAATATTTAGTTAATTGACGTTTACTGCTCCTGCGAAGAAAAACAATCCGTCGTCTCACTGCGACGTTTAACTTAAATATTAAAATTCGCACGTTACTTTTTGATCTAAAAAATGGAATATAAGATAGTCAATACGTGATTATAAATTTTATTTGTTTTATATAGAGGTAGATGCGTTCAAATTTATAATACTCGTTATTGGAAATTGTCGTTTTCCTAAGATTGATAACTCTTGCAAAGCTGTGCAAATAACATATTTACTTGGCCATATATTTTTACTCATGAAATAAATAGTTGGGTTTTTTATAAATAACACAAGGTTGCTTCTTTAATAGATCTAGATTAATGCATCAGGTAATTTACAACAAGTATATAGGCTTATTAAATCGAATGATATTAGTAGCATTAATCAACAAGAATAGATTGTACATGATGATGGCAGTTTAAAACTTGAAGCTTTTTAAAAGAAATTCTCAATAAAAAAGACCAAATTTAGCACAATGCCTGCATCAGTGAAAAACTTAAAGAACAAAAGGCTTTACTAAAATTTTATTATTTTTATGCATCAAGGATAGAGTTGTCGTTATTCACTTTTAATGAATAGTTGCAAAAAAAATTAAGAAAGAACAATAATATACATGAAATAGAGGTTATGAATCATCAAAAGGAAATAATTGTTGTCATTATTATAATAATCAGCAATCACACAGGCAGCAGAAGCAATATTAGATTAACATTGTGTGCCCAGATACATTACTCACAGCAGCAAGGATTATGCAATCTGTTAATAGCGGGTCACTAGTATTAGTTATGTGCCGATGTTACACACAGTATTATTGAATTGACGCTATAGGCAACAACGCAGAATGGAATAATATCATTACTGATCTGAATCCTTGACAAAAAATCAGCGCTGGTTAACATTACACTAAAATTGCTAAATACACAAAAATCATTTGCAATTTCTTTATGAGAAAATAAAACAATTTTATTATATATATACATATCTACATACACACATTAATAATATTTATTTTTTATTTTCTAGAGTAAAAAAACTATTTACATTTATTTATATATATAAAAAAATCTAAGCAATTAATTAAAAATAATAAAATGTTGCAATATTCATAAATTAATGAAAAAAAACATGCTCCAATAATTAATGTCCATTATTAAAATACTGCTAAATGTTATATATTATATTGGATTGGCTATTGTAAAGTTATTAAGTTCTTTATTAGCCTCAACTTGTTCTTTATGTTCATTTAACCTCCATTCATCACGTTCCATTAACATCTCATCATATATCGGTGATGGTGGCCCAAATAGTTCTTTGGGTGGTTGTTTTTTAGACCTTTTGGTTTGAATTTTTATTCCAAACACAACCATTGTTGTACGTGTACGCGCACTCTTCCTTGAAGCAGTTGAAACAAGTACATTTGGGTTGATGAATGACCCACTAATAGTGTTGTTCTTTTTTATTCGTGGTCTTTTGATTTTTATTTCTTCTGTTTCATCGTCAATCTTAATATCATTTACCACTTCATCATTAATATTACTATTACTACCATCACCACTACTACCAACAGTATTACTACTCCTCTTCCTCTTCATTCCAATACCACCATTTTTTCCTTTTCCTAACCCTCCTAATCCTAACGAATCATATCTTGCCAATTGATCCTCCGCTTCTTTTAACAATTTTTCACGCACTGTTTCAAGCCTGATCATATCATTATTAGCTGGTTCGTTACTTCGTAAGGAGGCAACTGACATCAAGGTCTTAGAGTCAGTGTTACGTAACTTCTCAACTGCCAACTGCTGCTGGTATCTCTCGTACTGCAGCCTTTCTTTTTCCCGATTCTTTAATTTCTTTTCTGACAATTCGAACTTCTTATGACGACGTTCATATGCTTTGTCTGATATATCCTCCTTTTTAGTTTTTAATGTTGTAAAATTAATATATTTATAGTCGTACTGATATTTATTACCCTTTTATTTTTCTTTATGATATGTATTAATAAATATAAATATTTACCTCATTGATTCCATCATCATCGTTACCATCACCAATCCATTTCTTAAAACTTGGCGTGGAGATTTCTTTAACATTTTTTACTGGTCTATCATCTTTCCCAACATCATTTCCCTCAATAACTTCACAAGTTTTCAATATTTCATTGTTGGTGGTAATTAAAAGTAATGTGTTACCATCGATTACATCTTCTTCATAATGGGCTGCTTATTAATTAAATATTATAAAAGGGATATAATATATATACACATTGAATTTAGAATTTTTTTTTGATTTTTTTTTAAAAAAAAAAAAAAGTATTCTTCAGAATGAATGACAAACCTTCTTCAGCTGCGACTTCCTCAACCAAAACATTTGCCAAAGAACTAACTTTACGTTTAGGTAAAATACGTGTTTTAACGGAAGACATTTTTTATTTTATTATTTTTATTATTATAATTTTTTTAAAGGATTTTGAATAATTAATTATGACGTTATTAAAATAGTAATGATCGTCTTAGCTAATAAATTACTATATATGTGAAGGTTTGATTTCATCAAGACCAGAGAGAAGACGATATGACATGTAGTTGACTCTCTTCATCAATAAACTCTGTACGAGATGAGCCAAGCTCAAATTGTCTTTAAATTGGCTCGTGAACTATCAAACCAGCTTGTGCTAACATTGCAGGTTTGCTCGGCCACGTAGAAACAAAATTTTTTTTGACAAAGGTCATCCATATAATTTCACAAAATAAATATAACATGATGTTTTAGCTTAGGTTCTCAAAGTTATACTTGCAGGATTTCATAAATCCAAGAGTGTCTCTGACACTATCAAAAGGTACCTTTGTGGAGAAGGTCTTGTCACAAAACAACAAAATGATCCCCCAAAATTATGTCCTATTGAAATTGATAAAGTATACACCAAGGAGAATGGAAGCCGCAACAAAGGCATTTCAAGCGCATTTTTAACGTCATTATTGTATTTACTATTACGTGTAGTTAACCTCAAAGTCAAAAAATACCAAGTTAGCGCATCTCGCTTGCTTGCCAATCAATGTCTCTAGAATAAAAAATATAGGAGAAAAACTCCTAAAAGACCAAGGTTTCCATTCCAAACTATTTTCGAAAACAAAGTAAAGTTGTAAAAAGTAAGTATCAAAACCCATGCTCAAAATCAAAGGAATTATTATTAGCCCAATAGATTCATCAAACTAAACTGGAAGTCATAAATACGAAGCAAAAATGGTGAGCGCAACCAACAATACTCAAGTTCTCTTTTTCTTGTTGGGAAACAAAAGATGTTTGGAGTTTTTGCTTTCAAGAAAAGCATAGATAAGGAAAGCAAAAGCAATAATTCACACGAGCCTATCCCTACATAGAGTCATAAATACGAAGATAATCTAAATCAGATCCACTATGGAACCCAAAAATTACATTACTATCGGGAGGATTTGAAAAAAGAACAAAGGGAAAAAGTTGCTCCTTATGTTTCCGAGATAAATGATGCCAAAACTATTCAAGAATATTTAGATAATGAAAGAATTACCTCTGAAGTTTACCAAGAAGAAAGAAAAATCATAACCAATAAATAGATAAACACAATTGCTCTTGAAAACATTAATTTACAGTTTGCTTTAATCTTATAAAACATCAAGTGTTCCACACGATATTATTGATAAATTACTGAAAAGTCATAATAATCAAGTAGTAAAATAATTTTAACACACAAAATTTTTGAAAAATTCATGTATTATCGGCGGTTCTCAAGTACTAGTATAAAAGAAAAAATTATTCCAAATCCTGAGGTTGACAATTCTGGTAGAGGAAGAAGTGGAAAGGGTGGTTATTTCTGACAAAGAGATATTAGATAGTTTAAAATTTTTTTAAAAAATCCACCAACTTTTCCATGGTTGAAGAATATGAATTTCGAACCAGCAAGATAAGTAATTTCATCCATTGGATGTTTCAGAATTATATTAGATTGAATATTAAGTTTTTCTCTCGATTTTTTTTATACCTGTTCCTCTTACTATACAAGCTTTGTAAATCCACAATACTGTCTTGATTATATTAATTTATTCAAGCATATGATTTTATTATTTCAACAAATAAAATTTATCGTTTAATTAAAACACACGCAATTTAGTCTTTGTGCTGATTTTTATTGTCATTTAAAAATATAAAGAAGAATTGAAGGCGGTGTTACAACAGTTGATAAAATATAAGTCACGTGTTAGAACATTAACAAAATAATAATAAAAATTTTTTCACCACCAAATATAAAGCAAATAATATATGAATTTGTTTCACTTCATTGCAAAGATTTAGGTGCCAGATTACATTGATTAGTTCTAACACACCAAAGTGGTTGTAATGGATCAGCCCTAGTACCACGTAAAACCATTCTAAATCTCCAATCATTTAATCTTGGTAATGCATCTTTAAGATCACGGGCTTGTCCATTCATGTCAAAATTACCCGACCAGAGAACTTCAGCAGCCGAGGATGATCTTGGCCATAAGTAATTTTCATAGTTCATTGAATCCGATTGCTCGGACCATAATAACACCTCACCTATAAACATATAAACATATTAGTCATATGAATCGATATGAATGAATATTTGTGAACACCTTTAATTAATCTAAACATCAATCAAACCTCCGATAACAAATTTTGATTCCTCGGGTGTTAATCCCTGAATTGGATTATATGTGTAAATTTTTTGCCAAGTTTTATATGGATCACACCTAATAATAAAAATTTAAACAATAATAACTTAAATAATTATAAATTATAATCAATATACACATACATATATGGAAATTATATGTAAATATGCTACGCATACCAACTATTTCCATTTGGAAAATTACCAACCCATGCACCATGACCACAATCCAAATACCAATAATCACTACTACCAGTCACAACTCTATAACCTTGATTAACAACTTTCTTAACATGTTTTGCATTTGTCCAAACTTGTACCACAACATCAGAAGGTAATTTCAATTTATGATTAACAATTGCTTCTTCCCAGATCATTGGAGTTTTCCCTTGTTTTCTAACTACATTATGTAATTCATTGTAAAATTTCTCGATCAGTGTATCGCCGGTTGTGCCAGGGTTATTAGCAATATAATCACTTATTGACTCATCACTCATCCAACAATTAATATTTATTTCATCTCCACCGGAATGATAAAATTTGTCAGTAAATAATGAAGTGATTTCAGTAACTAACTTCTCAACAAATTGATAGGTTTCTGGTATGACTGGGTTCAATTGACCGCTTGGAGGGCTTGCTGAATACTACTAAAATTAAAAAATTTAATCATCATTGTATTTGTAATATGTATGTGTATATTATATATATAATGCCTTAGCATATTACCAAATCCCAATTTGGCTGCTTATTTGGACACACAATTCTATATAGAAAAATTAAATAATTTGGGTAGATAAATCAATTTTAAAATAGTGATAATATTAACAATAAAATTATCATCGTTACATACAATTCTGGTTTACTATAAGAAACAGAAAAGGTATGACCAGGCATATCAAATTCAGGAATGATTCGAACACCCCTCTATAAAAAAACCAAATTATATGATAAAATATTAATATAACAATATAATATAACTAATTATTAATATTACCTTTTGTCCGAAATTAATAATGTTTTTTATATCTTGATTTGTGTAAATCATTGTTTTTGAATCATAAGCCCCTTTTTCACTTAATTCGGGAAACTCTTTACTAACATAAGGCCAACTAGTAGCATCAACTATATGCCAATGAAATACATTAAATTTATTCCAACTCATTGTTTCTATAATTTTCAAGATATCTTTAACAGGGTAATAATTTCTTGAAGTGTCTAATAATAATCCACGATGTTTATACTTGGGATAATCTTTAATTTCGTGTGGTGCAAAAGGAATATACGCAATAGAATTATTTTCATCATCGTCTTTAACATTATAAATCAATTGAGAGAAAGTTGTGAGAGCATGCATTGCACCATAAATATTTTTAGCTTTAATACACGCGGTTAAATATGATGATGTTGATGATGTTGATGGAATTGATAATTCATAAGATTCGTCGGTTTCAATCGATAATTCATCATTATTAGATCCGATTTCAATGATTAAAGCTTTTAGAGTTTTCAAATCATTAGTTACATCAAATTTAACATTTGGTGAAATAAAGTTTTCATCAATAAAATCTTTGAATTGATTTTTTGTAAATTCTACAATTTGTTGCAAGTTTTCACTTTGATTGTTCAATTCATCTAAAAATTTAAATTCAATTGATAAGCTTGGATAAACCTTAAGAACCTGACCCCCTTTTGACCAAATTTGAGGAATAGGCCATAATGCATATGTTAATAAAGGTGAAATAAATAATATTATTAATAAAATTGAATTGGGTTTTAAAAATATCATTTTAATTTTTTTGAAAGGAAAATTCTAAAGAAACTAATAAATAGTGAATGATCAACGTAAGATGCAGAAGATCCATACCAAACTTGTCAAAAATGATTGTGCCGAAAATTACTATAGTACTATTTGATTTATAAGAGTTCAAATAATTTCATATTAATATTAATATATGGGACATGCTGCAACAAAACCAGACAGAGTGAACATTGGTAAAAGGAATGTACTTGGGGGATTACATGATCATTTCTTTATTTATTTTTATAAACTGTATAACTGATCCCTGTATATCATTACTTGGGTAATGCAGTTTTTTAGATTTTTGATACCACCAAAACAAATTGGGAATTCAATCAAAAGTAGTTCTTGCTTTATATATAACCCTGGTAATGGTAAATGCATTGTACATGCTGATAATTCGTTTCCAGATATTCTTATTCAAAAAACATGAATCTTACTTATTTGATCTGCTACTTTCTTTGGGCAGTCCTTTTCACAAGGTAACCAATAAGTGTAAAGTGTAAAGGATTGTGGAAAATTGTATATAGAATTCAACAAATAAACTTGATGCAACAATTTATTGATATTGAATATGATAACAAGTAAAAGAATAAGGTGAAAATAATTTGCACAATTCTTTTGCATTAGATTCATAAATGCAAATAATTGGCTTGTTGACTTCCACCCAGGATTCAAGCCTTGCTCTGGCTTGTTACAAATGATCTTTGTGAGGGAAGTCCTCAACCTCTCTTTCATTACAAGTGATCAATACATGAAACTTACCAACAGGTCATAATCAACATGTTTTAAATTTGTTATGGTCAATACCCTCCTGGGTTTCAACAAAACACCTAGATTAATAAAAAGTGATTTACTGAACTCAATGAATACAAGCTGTCCACTTGTATCTGTAGCTATTGCAATTTGTGTTTCCATGCTAATTCCACTAATATCTTTTTCTTAACTTCCTCAATTGCCAATACAACCAATAACATACCATATTCTTTTTGATGACAAGCACATTCACTATCAACACTCAAATTATAACCATATTTGACAAGTGTATTAGCTCATGCTCTATATGAACATTGGGTCTTATCTAATTCATCACAATTTGTAACAACTCATGGATTATATATACTGAATTTCTAATTTGATTTAAATTAGATTTTGGCTCTTTTCATATTGTTGTATTTCCTCTTGATGTTAAACATAAAGTATAGTGATTTTTGATAATAAATATGAATCATATCATATTGTTGGTGATTGGCTACCAATAATGAACATATATGATTTCTCTGTCCTTCATAAATAGAATCATATAAAGAACTATATACTAGGATTCCATACAGTGATCAATGCTTGTCTTTCAAAAATTTTAACAGATTTGGACAGGCCATGATAATCACATACACGCATTTTAAAAATGGAACAACAGAACAGACATCTCCTGAATTCCTTTTGAGCTTGTTCTTCACCTTTTTTGTCATATATGATATATATATATATATCCTATCTTTCTTTGTTTCACAATATAGCAAAGGATACTTTCACATTATTATAACATCAATTGCAGAAACAGATTCATCATCTGATGTAAGACTCTTCAACATGGCAAATACCTTAAGTTTTCTAAACCTCAATTTGGAATCTCAATGAGCTAGTTTTGTCGAATTTCCTGACAACTTCAAATATACAGGACTTGTTGCATCCAATGCTGATGATGCCTGTACTTTTCCATCATGTTTTCCAGAACCCATGCACCACAAATTTCAAGTTTACAACCTATTTTTATCTTAGACTTCATTATAGCTCGTTGTAATGGTGGATCAATATATACATCAATCTCATACCAACCATTAGTAATTTGAGTTTCATCATATGAAAGGAGGATGTTGATGACAAAGATAATGTTGTTGATGGAGTGATGTTTATCATCGATTATTTCTGATACACAAAGAACCATGGGCAATGGTGATGAAGCATCATCTTCTACAATTAACTTAATAGCAGATTTGTGTTCACAGTTTATTTCTCTTTCATATCTGTATTTCAATTGATCAAGTATTTTTTCAGATGACAATCATGAATGTTTAGCATCAATTTTATATTTGTAACCTTGTTTTGAAGAGTAGTTAATATTTTCTTTTTTTAAAAAAAATTTTTATAAGGAATAGTTAAATCAAATATAATTTAATTAATTATATTTACCTTGAAAAGATAATCTTGAATCATCATGATATTATCAGTAATAATTCAGTAAAAGTGATATTGCGAAGAAGAGGATTCTATGAAGACATACATGACATAATTATGGTGGTAAGCTAGTAAAAGGACTCATAATAAGCTTGAATGTTATTTTAGTTTGGTCAAACTTACAGCTTCTGTAAATAAGCTTTCACTTGAATGCCATCAAAATTTTCATAATCATTGTATTAATAATTTAAACAAAAGATTTTTGGAGTTTGATTTTGATGAGTATTTATTGTTCTATTTTTTACATCCAGGTTTCAGAGGTAAATAAATAAAATAAATAAAAATTAAGAAATGATTGATTATTTTATATTTATCTCTTTATCTCATTTAATCTTTCTGAAAACAGGTATTGGCATTAAATTTGGAGAATTCATCATATCACCAAAATTTCTGCTTCAAAGTTGGAAACTGATAAAGCTTTAATGAGTCAATTGGTAAATCATAAAGAAAATCAGGATACTTATATCATTCCATATGGTCCAAGTCTAATTATTCCATATGGTTGATGGTCATGTATTGAAATAAACCCTAATTATATTCAACAATTGGCTAAAAAATTGTTTGCTATTACACCACATGCAGCTTCTTGTGAAAGGATTTGGACAACTTGTGGATGGTTATATGGAAAAAAAAGGTGAAATTTAAGTACTGAGCATGTTGAATCATTGGCTGAAATTCATGGTTATTATGGTCTAAGGTTGCTTGCCGAAACTCCTCCAGAAATCAATCAGCAGGGTTTCGGCAGGTTACACATTAATTGTTTATTAGAATTTCAGCAGAGTTCCACATTTTGAGGTTTCACCATTTCGGCATAGTTTCAACAGGATTTTTGATAAGATTTAATATAGTTTTGCCATGGTTTCAGCAATTACTAAGGAGGTTTCGCCCACAACCTTATTATAATCTCAAATTGCAAGGAAGAATTGAAAATAGCAGGAGAAAATATTTCTGAAAATGAAATAATGGATACTTTTTTGACAGCTCAAGATGATAATGAGGATGATGACAATATAAAAGCATCTTCATTAAAAGAAGAAAATAATGATATAAATGCTAATGAAGGACTTCCAGAACCTTATATTTTAATTATTCAAAATACAATGGATTTATGACATTCTAATTTTCAAGATCTAGATGATGATGATGAAAATAGATCTTAGTATTTATCTGAAGAAGAAAACATATTGGCTAATGATAGTATTATGAAAGGAAGGAAGAATATAATTCAAATGAATTGGCATCATCATTTATGACAGCATTATATAGTTCCAACTTGTAAAGAAAAATTTTTTATAATTACATTATTTTAGCTATACATATCATAAAGATTTCAGTCACCTCATTGATAATTTGTTCAAGTTCACTAAAATTATTTTTTATAATAAAATTAACAAAAACTAAATTTATATAGATTAATTTAATGTATGTATGGTTTTGTTATCTAATCATAGGTTTGACAGTTTAGGAGTTTTGCTCATAGCATAGGCAATTTTTGAGCTTTGCCACTAGCTTAGGAGCCTAAACTCCTGGACGAAACTATTTCGGATTTCCTAAAATAATTTCAGCTACCATCATTATTATGATGAACTTTGTTCGGTGAACCTCAAAGGGTGTGTTTCTGATCCCTGATGATGATAAATCAAACAATTTTTGTCATCTAAATGTCTATTAAAAATTAACATTTATTTGATCAGTAAAAACTGGAGTTATGGTTAATTGAAATGGCAATGATCGTGACCATTATCATTCTTTTAATAATAACTAGAGTGACGATGAGTGGCAATAACCACCATTCTTATGATAAATACTTACCCAGCAATTTCATTTTCATTTTTTTTCTTGTTTTCTTTTGGCATTTTGAAAATAAAAAAATAAAAAATACGTGTTTAAAAAAAAAAAAAGGAATCACATATATTATTATTATTGGCACTTGATGTTGTGAGGGGGGTTTTTTTTTGGAAAAATAATCTTATTTTTTAAAGATGACAAAACGTGAGTCTCCTAAAGAAGACATGCTAATAACTAACCAGAGGTACTTTTTTTTTTTAATTTGCATTGATATAATGTAGTGTCTTTTATTTTATAAATATTTTAATTGAAATCAAAACAGTCATTCCCACATATTTCTCATGTACAAAGGCTAATCTGACTTTGAGTATAATTTATTTTAAAAACATAAGATTGCAATTTTCTCCTTGTTCTTTCTTCTGATTGTATTATAATCCTTGGGTTCCATAGTAGATCTGATATAAATGAGTTTCATGTTATTATTTTTATATAGATAGGTAGTTCTATATACAAAGAAAAAAAATCAAAGATAATAAATGGACATTATAAATTATATAATGACTAACTGTTAAATTATATAAATTATAATCATAATTTTGGTCCCTGAAACATTGTTAATACAAATGTTCATTTTGTCTGATTATGTATAAACTATAAGATTTACAGCATAAAGAAAATTTGAAAAACCAAGGCATGAGAATGATTCTGAATAGTGGTAGTACTATTAGTAATTCTAGTGGTCAAATGGATTCAATTACAGTGGAAGAAGCTTTATTACCAGTTTTTGATATTCAGCAAAACACTGAATTGTTTAATCAGGAAGCAGATTTATCCTTATTGTTGTTGTTGTTGTTGCTACCGTTACCGGAATTAGGATTCAACGCTAATTTTTTGGCCGAAATACCCTAATTCCCAATCAAATCTATTTTGTTATTTTTATTCGTATAACGTCGAATTAGTTAACTTTATTTAGAAATTAACGTCGCAATTGAAGTAATTAAATTGCTGGATCGCAATGAAGTTGCTACTAATTAATTTAATTGTATATAAGAAACTCAAATTCGACATGCTTGTAAAATAACCTTGCATTAGTTTAATAACTTTGTAATAAAGTTTTAATTAACTTGGAAATAAGTCAATAAATTAGTTTTGACTAAATAAAACGTTTTCTTAAATCACTAAACCAAAATTATTCGCTAATACGTTAGTAGTAATAGCCAATTAATCCTGGATCCACATAATCATAAATTTATATCGTTATCATCAATTAATAAGCTCTCCCAAATAATAATTAGTGACACTACTACTTCTACCAATAAAACTGAAAAACTATCTGACCTTTGCTTTCTTGTTTAGATTGAATTAATGCTGATACTACCTTAACCAAAGAAATTTCCCTTGGATAAATATTACTATGGATTTTTAGTGCCTTCACTTTTGATTAATGTAGTTTTACTGATTTTGCCAAGCATGGTATTTAGATCCATGATTATAAGTGGGTAGCACACAAATAATTTGATTACTGGTTTCGTTTTTGTTTTCCGTGAAACAGAAGTCTTTTTTTGGGAAATTTCAATTTGATTTATAAAAATATTATTTATTAATATTATTTTTCGTTTGAACTTTCTCCCTTGAATTTAGCAAAAGGATAAATATTTTTTTTTAATCTCCAAAACATATATGAAAAATGGCCGAACTTAGTGCATATCTTATTTTTGTGGCTTTTTCAATAGTACTTGGTTCTTTTCAATGTGGATATCATGTAAGCTTCGTTAAATAAACAGATTACGAAGATTTTAAAAAAATCAAAAAATTTATGATAACTGAACTATATTAGATGGGCGAAATGAACATTCCACAAAGAATTATATCTTGTGAACCAATCCCTTCCGATGACTCATCAACTTCTATTAATGACTACACTTTACCAAGTTGCATACCAATGACACAAACACAATATTCTTTAGTTACTTCTATATTTAATTTGGGAGGTTTATTGGGATCTCTTATGGCTTCACGCATTGCCGATAATAAAGGAAGAAGATGGGCTTTATTAGTAAACTGTGTATTTTTCGCAGTTGGACCTACAGTAATGGGTTTTGCAAAAAATTATGGTGAATTGATTTTTGGAAGAGTTTTAGTTGGTATTGGAAGCGGTGTGGTAAGTGTTATTGTCATATTAAAATCAATTTCATGATTCAAGTTTCTAATTTAAAAAAAAAGCTTTATAATTAATATCTATCTATTTATTTAAGGTTCTTGTGGTAGTACCTATGTATCTTATTGAAATATCACCAATAAATTATCGTGGCGTTTTTGGTATGTGTATAATTTTTATGAGAAGTTAAATATAATATATATATGTTGATTTCCTTAAAAAAAAAAAAAGAGAATCAGAGAAACATTTGCTCATAAACAATGTTATTAATTCTGTTTATTTATAAAGGCGTGACAAATCAATTGGGACTTGTACTTGGAATACTATTTTCACAAATTCAAGGGCTCTACCTTTCTAGTGTTCCTGGTTGGCGTGTTATATTTTTAAGTGCAACAGCCATTTCTATCATTCAATTTGTATTTCTTCAATTTGCAGTAGAATCTCCACGTTATCTTTTGTCTAAACCTGCTGGTTATAACTCTGCGAAAAAAACATTACAATTACTAAGAGGTGATCTTGATGTCAATGAGGAGATTCAAAGATGGAAACAGGTAGACACTGAAGAAGAAACTGGTAATTTGATTCCTGTCAATAAAGGAGAGGAAGATGAAGAAATAGATGTAATAGCAGATGTTAACAATCATCATACAATCTCTTCACAACAAAATGATAACAGTGGTGAAATATCAGCTTCACTAAATGAAAATGCACCACAAGTAGTTTTTCATGCTCATAATCCAAATGAGAATTTTAACATTTATAAATTTATAACCAGTGTGCATTATCGTCCAGCTTTATATGTGGTATTGCTTTTACTAATTACGCAACAATTTTCTGGAATTAATGCAGTTATTTTTTACTCAACTGAAATACTTGCTAAAATCTTTCCAACTTCAAGCAGAGCCATCACTGTATTTATAAGTATAGTTAATACAATAATGACCTTGGTTTCAGCAGCATTAATAGAAAAATCTGGTCGAAGAAAATTATTATTATATTCAATTTCATCAATGAGCTTGAGTAGTACGGTATTGGCTTTAAGCATAAATCATAATTGGGGTTTTTTAGCTGCATTTTCTATTATTGCATTTGTAGCATCTTTTGCTGTCGGTCTTGGACCTATACCATTTTTAATTATACCAGAAATTGTTGATACTACTGCAGCAGCAACAGCTTCAAGTCTTGGATTATCATTGAATTGGATGGCAAATTTTTTTGTTGGGTTTACCTTTTTGATTGTTAGGGAAATTTTAGGTGGCAGTGTTTTTTTCATTTTCACAATCTATTTGTTGTTTGCTTTCTATTTAACAAGATTACTTGTGCCTGAAACTAAAGGAAAAACAGTCGAAGAAGTTTGGTTTGGTTGGATTGAAAGAATGTAACAATAATGATTTTCAATTTAAAATTATGTATATAATGCTTGCTATTATTATTTCTTCATGATTCAAATCATTTTTTTATTTATTGTATGTATTGTAAACAATAAAAATTGATCATCTTTTAATTTTGAATAATTCCAAAATACATATCATGGTAAGCATCATGCAAAGCTTGGACTTATCATTGATCCTTGTTTAAAAATTTAGTTGCATTTTTGATTGAAATATGATCAAACAAGAACTACTCACCCAAAAGCAAAAGTAGCACAAAGACTCGCTGATAAGGCTTGAAATTTACAGTTCAATTAAAAAAAATGAGTTATTGTCATGCCAGAATACAAGCAAAAACTTTGTTTCGGGTAAGCATGGTATTTTCAAGACTTGAAGAAAAATTTTTCAATTGATTACCACTTTTATTAAATGATTTATATTTCTTTATCCATATTAGGATAGTAATTACCAAACTATAATCACCCAAACGTTATAATTTCATCTGGTGACAAATCAGAAACGGCAATTAGTATCAGTAGGTTAATGTTGGTCAGACAACTTGCAAGAAAAGAAATAGACCTCTCTTTTTTTCCTTCCTATATAATATTTAATGTAAATTAGAATGGCAGGAAAATAATGTTGGATTCCAAAGAAGAAAATCAAAGGAAAGAATGTAAGTCATGTGCAAATTTTATGTAATTGATTAGATTTATATCAAAGAAAAAAATACAGAGTGACAAGAAATGTATACAATATACATTTAATGATTTATTTATTACTAGATTTTTTATTTGGGAGAGTTAAAGACACTTACCGTAAATGGTTGGTTTGGTAGTTACCATTGCCGTTGGATAGCTACCATTTGCCGTAAAATAATTATGGCATCCCGCAAATAGATGCGGTTTCCGTAAATAGATACTGTTGCCACAAATAGCTACAGCTGCAGCAAATAGATATGGGCTGCAAAATAACTACGACTGCAGCAAATAGTTTTTCGAAGATTAATATAATTATTGTTATTAGTCATATGAAAATTACTGTGATATGTAGTAACGAATTGTTGGTTGTTCATTTATAGTAATAGTAATAGTGAAATTATCTGTTTGCGGAAACCGCATCTCTTTGAGTCAGCCGTAAATATTTTATAAATGGTAACTATCAGGGGTAATTACCCTATTACTATAGTAGTTACCATTGCCGCAAATAACCAATTACGGCAGGTGTCTTTAGTGAAGGTAGCTTGTTTTGATTCCAAATAACAAATCGCTAAAAGATACATTTAATGTTTTTTTTAATATGTAATTATTTAAAAAATTTGTACAACTTTTTTTTTTATTGGCCTTGCAGATCTTTAATTCCTCCAAAAATGGAGCAAGGTAGATTTGATATAAAACCCTCATTATAACAAACCTCGATTTTAGAGAATCCCCAATATATATATTTTTTAATTATCACCTTTGAAATTTTTTTTCTTTTCTTTTTATTATTATTAATTTCTTGAAGACTTTAGGCTAAAAATCAAGGAAATTTTTATATCATTCTGTAAAAAAAGATGAGCCAAACAACAGCAGAATCTACTGATAGAAATGTGGAAATATGGAAAGTCAAAAAGTTGATCAAAAGTTTGGAAGCTGCCCGAGGGTTAAAAAAAATTTTTTTTTTTGATGGCTTTTTGATTTATATTTTAATTTCATATGCCTGCCCATACATTTTTTTAATAAAAAATCGATAATATATATATTTTTAATAGAAACGGAACTTCTATGATTTCTCTTATTATTCGTAAGTTATTATTATCTTTTGTAGCCTAAAAACTTTTCTTTCTACAAGATTATCTAATTGGATATTATTCGGGGTGGATTTTTTTTTGGAATAGCTCCCAAAGATCAAATTTCCCGTGTTGCTAAAATGTTGGCAGATGAATATGGAACCGCTTCTAACATTAAATCTCGAGTTAATCGATTGTCAGTATTAGCAGCAATCACATCTACTCAGCAAAGATTAAAATTATATACAAAAGGTATATATATATATATGCTATTGGATTGATTCATTCATTAAAATAAATATATACGTGTAACCTATATAACTGATTTTTTAACCTTTATTTTATTTTACTTTGTTAGTTCCAACAAATGGACTTGTGGTTTATTGTGGCACCATTGTTACAGATGAAGGGAAAGAGAAAAAGGTTAACATTGACTTTGAACCTTTCAAGCCCATTAACACATCATTATATCTTTGCGATAACAAGTTTCATACTGAAGCATTATCTGAGTTGCTTGAATCAGATAATAAATTTGGATTTATTGTGATGGATGGTAATGGTGCTTTGTTTGGTACATTGAGCGGTAATACACGGGAGGTGATTCACAAGTTCGCAGTTGAATTGCCAAAAAAACATGGTAATTATTAGTTTATGAAAAAACTTCATCTATCTTTACTATCGTGAATCGTTTATTTAGATAAATATAAATATTTATGATTATATTTTATATAAAGGTAGAGGAGGTCAATCTGCGCTTCGTTTTGCCCGTCTTCGAGAAGAAAAACGACACAATTACGTTAGAAAAGTTGCAGAACTGGCGGTTCAGTTTTTTATTACAAATGATAAAGTATTTATAATTGAATATTTAATTTTTATCCTTTACTTATTTTTTTTAAAAAAATAAATCATAATTGATTATCATATATATATTTATCGCATTTTTATTATTTTTAGGTTAATGTTACAGGACTTATTCTTGCTGGTTCGGCAGACTTTAAAACTGAATTATCTCAATCAGATATGTTTGATAATCGTCTTCAAACTAAAGTTATTAAATTGGTTGATGTTTCATATGGAGGTGAAAATGGTTTTAATCAGGTATATATATACACACGCACACACTTGTATATGTATAAATATTATGGGAGGAGTGTATTGATAATTTTATTATAAATATTTATTTATAATGCAATATTAACATTTTAGGCAATTGAACTTGCAGCCGAAAGCTTGGCTAATGTTAAATTTATTCAGGAAAAGAAACTTATTTCAAAGTATTTTGATGAAATTTCTCAAGATACTGGAAAATTCTGTTTTGGCGTGGATGACACCTTGAAAGGTCTTGAGTTGGGAGCAATTGAAACTTTAATCGTTTGGGAAAATTTGGAAGTTGCTCGCTATGTTTTGAAAAATGCTAATGGCAGTATGTACTTTTTTTATTTTATTTCTAAATATTAATTTCCAATTATGTTAATATTTATGTTTAAAATTTTTTTAGCTGCATTTATTATTCATATGACCAAAGAACAAGAAAAAGAACGCTCACTTTTCCTTGATAAAGAAACAGGGGTTGAAATGGAAGTTGTGGAGAGAACGCCACTTTTGGAATGGTTTGCTGATCATTACAAGGACTATGGTGCGACTTTAGAATTTGTAACCAATCGTTCTCAAGAAGGTTCACAATTTGTTAAAGGATTTGGTGGAATTGGGGGACTGCTACGTTATAAAGTTGATTTTGAAACTTTGAATTACAATAGTGAAGATGATGGTTTCTTTTCTGGTTAGTAACATTTTTTTTTTTGATTGACGGCTGTTGGTTGTATTATTATACATAACAAAATTTTGTTTTTTTTTTTTTTTACTAAATTTATTACCATCATCATCAGATTGACTTAAGGATGTGTCGGTTTGTCAAAAAACCACTATTTTGTTTGATAAAGATAACATATCTCCAAAACCATTTGAAGTCCTTTTAATGCAAGATTGATTGATTTAAATTCAATTTGTTGATAAATTAATTTTCCTAAAAATAATCTAAACAATTAAAATCACTTATTATTTATTATTTTTAGTGTTGCGAAAAAAAACGGCGATGACAAAAAATTGCATAATTAAATAAATTTAGGTTCGTTTGAAATTCTATCAATTATTTGATTTGAAATATTATTGCCAGTTTTTGTAAAACTAACTTACATATTTATTTATTTTTAAGCTTCGCTACCTACCAAAAAGTATTGGACACCCCAAATGTATTAATTAGCAAAAATGACACAATAAAAATTATATCAGTCTGTAACTACTTGGGTTCTGAAGATTATGCATATAAAATTTAGTGTTTCTAGAATTTTTGAAAAACATTCCTTTTAAGCCAATCGCTACTTTAAAATATGATGATGATCTTGCTTTTAAGATGAGATTTAAAATTTCCAAGATCACCCCGTTCCACTACAACATTTACAGGTTTATTAATGGTGTGCATATTTGTTGTTAATTAATTAATATTGTAATAATGATCGACATTTGAAGCTTTCAGCATACAATGCAGATCATCTATAATCAATTACAATTGGTCAGCTTCAAAATACTAAAACAAAATTTTATACATCATTTAAAAAAAAAATCCCCCTCCGATAAGTTTTATTGTTCATGACTCAAGCTTCAAAACTCATTGGCTAAATTTTTTTTTAAACTAGGAATTGGCGGAGCCTTAGCATTTCGAAAATTCCAAATTTTACCAAGAAAACTCTGTGTAACAAAATTTTTTCATGGAATATTTTTTTACAACACGTGTCGATTTATTTGTATTATTTATTTCCTTTTTTTAATTAATAATAAAAGTTCGCTTCCTTAATATCAAAAAAAAACATTACCAAATTTGGTCAAATATTTGCAGCACAAAAATTATTATTGCAAAAAAATCAGGCAAACTTTTTAATTTCAAATTTTTTTAACATGATTCAATTTTGTTGATTTATAGTTGTACAAAATTCTATATCATTTTGTTAATGAAACGTACCAAATATTAGGTCTTCAAGATGTCCTGATCCGTTAGCAAATTTAAGAAAATGCATCAAAAGGAATAAATGTAATCAAGAAATGATGTAATAGTAATTAGTAACTTTTATATATGGGTACGAAATTCTTTACATGAGCTAATATAAATTATTATTATATTATAAGTAGATGTCGATCACTGATATGAATCTTTACTAAAATTTGTATTATTAATAATTATTTTTAGGATCAAAATACGTTATGTCAAGTAAAAACCAAAGGTTAATATTTAAGGTAAAAGTGGTCGGTGCGTTTTTTCGACAAATCTCAACGTGAGAATCACTGCATCCCAAATTTAATGCTTAGAAATTCATGTGAATGAAATCCATTATTAAAATGAAACAATTAATATCAAAAATTCGTGTTGTGTTATCATATCCTGTTATATCGAGATTAAATATCATACCAATTATAAAATTTTAATGTATATAAATATAGAATGTAATTCCCAAAATTTCTCCTCAATTCCTTTTTGACTTATTTATTAAAAAATTTTTTACGTACTTGTAATGAATTATAATAATAGATTTAATAATTAATAACAAAAGCTTTGGTTTAAACGCATGGTTGCTCAATTATAATTGTAGTATAACAACCAGTTATATATAATAAATTGATAAATTAATATTGATTTATTTTAATCGATATTTTTTTATATTAAAAAAAGTTTTCAACAACTCCCCACATTCTCGCATCAACTCGCTATTATCGACCATTCAAAAAACAAAATGTTTAGAATAAGACGTTCTAACTGGAAAACTTTACATGATTCTACTTACCTTCTCTTACAACAAAAAAACATTTCACAACAAAATAATTCAAGAAATGTTCCAGAATATAGAATAATCACTAAAAGTTTTCCACATTACAGAAGTAATTATATATTTATAATTATTAGTTTTAAAATTATTTTTTTATTAATAATATATATTCATACATTCGTATATTATATAGTCGCTGGTAATGATGATCTAAATCAAATTCGATTAGAATTTGATTCATTACTTCATGATATAGAGCATGAAATGGAGGGTAAAATCACATCAAAAAAAATACTTAAACATGTAAAAGATTGGTCAAGGGGTGAAAATGTAAGAATCTTTGCTTTTTAAAAAAAATTTAAATAATTCATATTTTCTTACAATAAAGATGACGATGATAATGGTAATGAATTTTATAATTTGACAGAATTCTTTTGAAGATGATGGTGGATACGCAACAGATGCTTCTATATCACCAGAAGATGGAAATACATCAGCAAATGAAGATTATAATGATCCATATCTCTTGGCACCTCATGAAATTGTTAATTCTTCCTCCTCTTCAACAAAGTCTGAAAAAGGAAATGTTAATGATGATGATATTGTTGTCAATAATGATAATAACGACGACAAAAATAACAATACCGACAAAAATAAAAATAAAAAAAATAAAAAAGGCAAGAATAAAACCAGAGAAAACGATAGTCATCAACAGTCATCACAAATTACACCATCACATGATCAATTAGATTTTACAATTAATCAACATAGTAGCAATTCAAACTCAAATTCTGATTATTCAGATGGTGAAGAAGATCAAAATAACAACAATGTGTCTATTGGTAATATTGCTCCACTAGAGGAATTGTTAACAATTGGTACATCTATGCTTGACTCATTCATGAATTGGATAGAAGGTCCACCAATAACTGATAGAAAAGTTAGCAGTAATGTGGCTTCTTTACCACCAAAAAATACCAATAATAATCCCAACTCATCAAATAATAAAAATCAAACAATACTTGATATCCCAATGCAATTCATTGATTTGTTAACTTATCCCGATATTGATCCAAAAGCATCAAAACCTTCTTTTGCAGGTAAATAAAGATATTTATGTGTTTTCGTGTTTATGTGTATTTGCTGATAATTATTTAACAAATAATATTGCATAGTTCTTAGAGAAATATCATTCGTAAAACAAAGGAGGAGAACATTAATCATAGTTACAATTTCTATTATTATAATAAGATATTGTTCATTTGATTTATTTCTAATAATATTGTTTGCATGTAATTGTACAATGTTATTCTTGATGAAAAATTCTGGCAAAGTTAATGTTACTATGGCAAAAAGGTTTGTAGTTTTTCATGTTACACACACACACATATATATTATATATATTATACATTAATACTTTATTACATCAATATAAAATTTAGAGCTGTAAGACAAAGAATAGGTTGGGCAAAACAGTGGGCAGGTTTATTATTTAAAGCTAGAGCGCAATCTGGCAATAATAATAATAATATTATTGCTGCTAATAATAACACCAATAATTTGTTAAATATATCAAATATAAACAATAACAATAGTACCAGCAACGCTATTATTAGTAATATTAATAGTTCTAGTAGTAATAGCAGCAGCAACAACAATAATAACAATAATAACAACAGTAACAGCAACATTAGTAATAACAACATTAATACCCATAATAATAACAGCAGCAGCAACAATAACAACAATAACAACAATGGCAGCAACAACAATAACAATAAAAAATGTAATGCATCAAATTTTAAAATGGTTTCAGCAACTTCATATACTGCTGTGATGACAAAATCGTCTTCACAAGATGCAATTCAAAGTGGTAGTATGAGTGATACTTCTTATGGTGGGAATGTGCCAACAAAATTTCCACCAAAGCGTGGAGGATTTTTTCGTAATAAAGTAAATCAAAATTTATCATCAAACTACTCTTCTTCCAAAGACAACAATAACAATAATATAATAATAACTTCTATAGACTCGCCATTGCCACCGCCTATATTAAATAGTAGTTCAAATGTTGATTTAGTTGGATCATCGTCATTATATACAAATAGTACAAATAATTCATCACTATTATCATTATCACCTACAAATATCAACAACAACAACAACAACCACAACAACACTAGTAATTTATCTTTAAATTCTGGTCCATTATTAGGTACAGCATCGTCATCGTCAACAGCAATAACAAATCAATCAAATACACTGATACCTACATCACCAACAATCATTGGTTCTTTAAATGATTCATCATCAACAACAAATTCAACGACGAATAATGCATCATTAGAAAAATCAACATCTAAAAGAAAATTCTTTACAAAACGTAACAGTATCAACTTGCTCAACAATAACTCAAACGTAAATAATAATAATAATAATAATAATAATAATAATAATAATAATAATAATAATCAAGATTCAGTCGTCGTTGCTACTACTCCAACAACCGATACAAATAAATCCCCTCATAATAGTCATCACCACCATTATAACAACATTACAACAATTTCCTCGAATATTAATAACCCAAGTAATGAACTACCTGAAATAAAACCATCCGCAAATGATCTTATGGAAGGTAAATATCAATCATCATATAATGACGAGAAATTATAACATTTCTCATTTCATAATAAATATCACAAGTCCAACTAATGAATTAATATTATATTGTTTTATAACTTTAGTAATTAATGTAGTAGATGAACACTTAAACCACAATAAATTTGCTTTTAAGAACAGTAATTATAATGGTAATATCTACGATCATGATGACAGGATTCCAGCTTCTAATTAAAAATTTATTTTATCAATAGATTTTATATATTAAATTCAACACAAAAGAATCATTCATTTTTTCTTATTTAATTTTTTTGCATTTTAAATTTCTTTGTAAATTATTTTTTTTTTTTTTACATTTTAAACAATTTTTCTTTTATAAATATTTTTTTTTTATTTTTTAATTTAATATTTTGATTTTTGTATTTAAAAATAGAGTGTAGTCATGTGATTATATATATTTAAAAACCAATTTTCATGGGACGAAAATTAATACAAAATTTAGCATGTATCTAAAATCATTTATTTAGTTGGTTGAAATTAGAAAGTCATTTCAAAAATCTTGTAAAGTTAAAAAAAAGAACCCTCTAATCTTAAATAAAATAATTTTTTGTAAGGCCTCTTAAATTTAAAGGTTCGTTTCTTTGAATAGTAAGTATATAGGACTTAGGGAGATGATACAGTGCGGATCATCTATACTCAAAAGTTAAAATTTTTGAAATATTATGTGATCCACACATTGGATTTTAAAAAACCCACCACCATTCAATTCAGCTTTAAAAGGGGAGTCTATTAATCTAAAAAAAAAAATTTGTCTCAAATTTTCTTTCCATAGATTTTTAAATTTGAAAGTTATGCTCAGAAGTGCAGCATAATGGACATTCGTTTATCACATTGTGATTTTGATTTCATTGGCTAAATTTTATGACGATCACCCTCCAAACAATCACATAAAAATCAAATTTTATTGGCATGAAGATCTTTTACAAAAACAAAAATTTAAAGGTTGAAACTATATAATAGTATTCTATTACCTTAAGTTGAAATTTATTAATAAAAAAAAGTATATATAAATTATAAATATAATTTAAAATTATTACATAAAAATTATTTAATAATATTATTTGTTTTACAACAATTAAAATCCCTATTATTATTAAAAAATGTCTCAATATAAATTATTGTCAAGTTTTGGATTGTGAGTCAAACAAAGATATCAGAACATTTACACCTGGTGCCAAAAAAAATCTCAAGAAAAAGAGACACTCTATGTATAATTATCTTAATATTGGTGATAAAATATGTCTTAAACATTATTTAATGATTGTAGAGCCAGACAGGAATGTTTAAAGAAAAAAATCATCAAATTTTTACCAAACTAATTTGTCTGATTTAAATGATAATTCTTCAAATAATTTTGAAAATTGGTCAGATATAAAAATTGATATGGCAAATGATAAACCAAATTTAACAAAAGATAATTTTGATCTTTTATTGCAAAAATATCTAATATGGGGTCAGAATTAAATGTTTATAGAAATAATCAAATTAATAAACCTAATAAATTCAGTTATAAAATTAAAATTTTATCTGATCCTTTATTTTATCTTCAAAGGGATTTTAATTCAAATCTTGAATTAAAACCAGATAGATTTAAAATAATGATTGAAAAATATCAGCCTATATTAATTGGATTTTTTGATGAATTAATTGAAATGGTTGTGCCAACTAATAGGTCTGAATTTAATAAGGATAATGCTAAAAAAAATGTTGTTGTATTTTGTTACTTGTTAGCTGGTTTGAGAAATAAGTTTATTAATTCTTTACAACTTGAAATTGGATTATACTTATCATCATCTGGAGCAACAGTTGAATCAATAGACTTATTGTCAAAAGTGGGTATATAAGTAGGCCACAAGACTGTAGAAAGACTTAAACAAAAAATTGAAACTGATCACCCTAATAAAATTAATGATTATTTATTATATAATGTAATTAATAATTTAATATATGTATATATTATTAAATATAATTTTTAAATATTACTAATTACTTTTTGTGTATTTATAATCAGGAAAATTATTTTGTTTTAACTTGGATGATCATCATTCAATTCACTCTTTCAGAGCACCAAATACTACAACATTATCAACTGCCCATCATATGGCAACATGCACAGTT